AGCCCTGCCCGAGGGTGGTCTGAAAGCTGCAATGAGCAGGCAGGTGGTTCCAAATGGGAGCACTCTGCAGCTCTGTCGCGGAGTATAAAGGCAGATCAAAGGCTCACAGGAACGAGCAGATAAACTCTCAGAACAAAATGCTGAAGTGTGTGAGTGCTGAGGGAACAGCCACGGCACAGGGTGAAGGTAAAGATGGGCAAGAGTCTGAGCTGTCCCACTTTGCCCAGCTCTGCAGTGCCATTTCCAAACTGTCCTCTGTGGCACAGCAGCACTGCAAGAACTCTCTGCATCTATAGGTCAATCCATAGGTTGACTCTCCCTGAGCTGCAGTTGCCCACACCAAAGTTGTTAGATTTCCCATGCAGTGGAAATGCTTCTGAAGTGTCCTACTTCGTAAGAAATCAAGTTTTTGTGGCTACCATGGCTGAAAGCCTTCAGCCCCTTATCACTGGTATCTTAAGCATCCTTATGGAGCACCCAGACAGGGTAAACACATTAAAATATTTAAAAGTGCACTAAACAGGTATAGTTCTGAATGATTCATTCAGGCTTCTGCCAGTGCAAGTGCTGCTCAGCATGATTGGCAAGAGGCTGCAGAGGGCAAGAAAATTAGTTTCTTTAGAAAGGACTCATTTTCTGTCTCCAGGGCCAAACAATCACAGGCTGGTCAATACAGGAACACAGGATAAATTGACTTTGTTTGCTTGTACCTCAGCACCCAGAGCAGCTCGTGCTGGGATTCATAAACCATGGGTAATGTGAACCAGTCTGCCCCTGTCTCACAGCATTCCTGCTAGGAACCTGCTTCTCCTCAGAAGAGTCTCGCTAGCTCAAGGGTGAGGGGCTCAGCGAATGAGCTGCTGTATTCAGCACCTTGCTGAATGGGAAGGGAAAATCTGAGAAGGGAAAATTGCGTTGGAGCCTCACAGAGTGCTGGCACGAGTGCTGACACATCTGTGCAGAGGCAGTGGAGGGCTCTTCTGCAGAGTTTGATACTGAGTTTACCGTGAGTCCAGTCTCCTAACAAACCTTTCCTGCTCAAATTAGCTGATAATCAAATTGCCCTCTATTTTTTCTTTCAAGAAACACAGGTTTTACAGGGAGATGGAACACAGTTACTTGTCTTCATTTTACTTACTTTAAGTGCATGGAAAAAGCTGGCAAGCTTTTGAACTCTGTGTCCCTATGGCTGGATGTTGAAAATCTTGCCTGTTTTCTTCCAAGTGTCATTTGGCTTAATAGAAGATGTTGCCCCTCCCTACAAACCTTGTTTCTCTTGCACAATGGGGCTGCACAGATAATGGCTGTTGTTTATATTCTCCCAAACTAATGTGGCTGTGATGGCTGCCTCTAAGGCTTGAAAGGAGAAAGTAGGAATCAAAGTCACAGAAGTGTTAATTTTTATTGCAGTGCCTCCTTGCATGCAGAGAAAGCTCTGATGGTTAGAGAATTGCCACAGCAAACCTTCCCCCACAGGTAAATGTGAAATCCTGACACCAGAAAAATCAGTGTCCCTCCAAGAACACTACAATCTCAGTCATAATTTCAGAAGCTGTCCCTGCTTTATCCAGCAGGACAGCACACAAGCACCACAGCAACTGAGGCTTATGAGTGCCACTGTAGCTGAGGACAGTGCATCACTGCTCAAGCACAAATCAGAGATGAGCCCAAGTCTTTGCCCCTGGCAGAGCTCTTCAGTTTATTTTATCCTCCACCCCTCTCTACCCCCACGCCCCCTGTTTCTTTTTTTAAATCACTTAGATTTTTAAAAGACAAAAGGAAGGCACCATGTGAAAACATCACTATGGAAACATCACAGGCTCACTTGTACTAGCCTGCCAAGCAACTACCTAACTAAAGTTTTACATCCTATTGGATCACTGTTGGCCATCTGCTCTCCTTCAAACTTCTCTGAAATCCATATTTTCCTGAAAAGTTCATTTTTAGAAAGGAGGGAGGAGGAGGCAAAGGGAGAATCCAGTATTCTTGGCTGGTGCAGAGCTATTGTGAAAAAGGAAGATAAACTCACTTTGGAGCAGCCTCTTAAAAAGACAAAGATCCGTGTTTTGTGAAGTAATTTCATAGAAAATACCTTGTATCTAGATGCACTTTAATGATAAAGAGTATATATTGGCAGCCACAAGGCAAAACACACAAACAGCTGCTTCTAGTACTCTTGCACTAATTGTCCTTTTCTCTCATTTAGCCTCAAATGTATTTTCTTCTAAAATTTAACAGTTACTGCCTACACTGGAGTTGTTGGCTGCAGGCTCCACAGCCTTGCTCCAAATAAAACACAGAAATAGATTTCCTGCCAAGCACCGAGGAAGTTTGAAGACTTTAGTTTTTAAAAATATAATCTTTTTATCAGTGCCCTAAGCCTGCCAAAGGTAATTACGGACCATGGCGCATTTACATTAATGCATAGGACCTACAGACATTTCAAAAGCTTAATGGAGAAACTCCATAAACGTACGTATCGAAAAACAAATTAATTAAATTAAACTGTCATGTAAAGATATCACTTAATTTTGCAGAGCGGAAGGCGCTCTTAATGGGAATGGAATGGATCAGTGAGCATTTCAAAACCCAAAGCTATAATTTAAATTCAGGCTCTCCTCTAGTGTGCAAGTCACAAGACATATTTATTATAGCCTTGGATTGTCAATTGTAATCGGTTTAGCAGAGACAAAGCCGTGTTGTTTTGCTTCCTGCCCTCCTAGCTGGTTCAATATAATTTGATGTCAGACTATTGACAAGCAAACCAAAGGCAGAAATAAAATCATGTTTACCTGTGATGAACTGGCAAAAATGCAGTCCAAGGTAAATGTAACCCTGAAGCCCAAACGTTTATTTATCAAGCAGCAAGGGGAAAATGGTGAAGCATTTAAACTTCTTTAAATAAACCAGCTAAATATATTTACTGCTGCTCTTGAGGCCTGCTATGTGGCAACCTAGAAACAAATAGATAAAAATAAGTAAAAGCACTGTGTAAATGAATAGCACCATTTATAAGATGCTGCTCTTGAGTTTTCCAGGTGTCAGTAACAATTAAGAGTTGTTGCTCTTGACACTCCTCTAAAGCTAGTGCCAAAGCCTGACACCAGCAAAAGACAACAATACCAAGACAACAAGCAACACCCAGCAAAGACAGCAATACTTCTTCCAGGATGTGCAACCCAATTTGCTGCAGGATTTCACCTGGTGGCAGCAGTTACATACCAAGCCTGTGCTTCTGCAGCCATGAGCAAGAATCTTATCACTGAATAAGCTCCCAAGAATGCTTCAATTCTTTTCCTAACATTCTTTCTGTATTCTCTAATTCTCTTTCTTGCTAAGCTCGTTTGGTGATGTGGAGCACCCAAACCAGTCAGTTCATTGGCTCGTAATTGTCATGGTTTCCTCTTGCCTTTTCCCAGCCCCTGCGCTTAGTCACAGAGAGGTTTCTCTGAGCCTGAACTTAGAACCTTCTACCCAGGATCTCTGTAATTCCTTGTGGATCTCTCGAGTTTGCAAATCTGACTCTAAAATATCCTGACAAGCTCAAAAGTCATGGTTAGGAAGAGCTGTGGCACAGCACACCGGGACACCTGCCTGAGGTGCACCTCTGAGGGCAGCGGCACAAAACCAGCCTCTCTGGCTCCTGCTGCCTGGTGAGATGTGTGTGGTTCATTTATTTTGGGCGGGGGGGAAGCAAGGAGGGGCCAGCTGCATGGCTCTGAGGAGTGGCTTGTGTTCACACAGGAGTTGATTTGTTTGCTTTATAAAAATACCTGTGTATCTGCATTTATTGTTACTCAGGTACACAGCAGGATTTTCAGATGAATGGGTTGCATTTTTGCTTCCTGTGTAATCTTTCAGCAGTTTGTTCCCCAAGCTAATTATTATGCTAAAAAACCCCAAACCCAGCCAACCAACCAAACAACAAAGACACAAAACAAACCCCTCCCCCATCCAAATTCACCTCAGTACTAGACCACTGTCCTTTTGCTTATACATTAAACAGAAGTATTTTTTACAACCTTTCTAGAAAATGACAGCTTTTATCCTGCTACACTATTTTTCCTCCCTACTTCTGTTCCAAGATGCACATTATTAGCCTTGATCACTCTCAACAGAAATTTTTATTTTTCTCACCCTCTTCACTCTCTTTTGGCTTTGCACAAGATTTGAACTGTTACATTAAGTGACAGGTTACCACTGACAAAAAAATTCTGTTCCAATTTAAGGGTTGAAAAATTGGACAAAGCTTTTAAAATGTGTTTTGTCCTACTACCAGTAATCTTTCTACTTATTTACATGGCTCCTACCGTCACACATCAGTGTGTGTAACATCCTTCTTTGAAAGAAGACAACGGGAAAGGAAAGTGTTCATAGCCCCTCTGAAAAAGAAAAGATGTGGAAAGGTTTAGGTCCTGATTCAAAACAGCGTGAAGGCTCCGATTCCTACTGTCACTGATGTCAGTGACAAGCCAGATGTCTGATGTCTTTAATCTGGACTTCAGTGACTTCTTCAAGATGTAAGAAAATTATGGTCCAGCTGAGATGTGAATGTATCTGTAGTGATAAATTGCCCTCTTCTATCACCAGCCAAATACCATAACCACAGGCATGCCTGTTTCTTTCCAATAAAGCCATCCCAGTCATTAAAAATGGTCTTTTCCTAAACGGCTTTTCCAGCTTAGCTGTCTGGTTCACAAGCCCTTGGAGCTCTGAAGCAGATTAAATGTACAAACACAGTCATAACTTTTGTTTATGGAATGGGAAAGACTGAAAGAGGGTTCTAAGTAATGGTCAGGAGAATAGGATAGGCTACTGACATCAGTTAAAAGGCTTAAGTCAAAGAAATATTATTTCTAAACTCTGAAAATAGATACTATGGTAAAAATGCTTATTTCCCATGTCACTTTGTAAACATCAAGTAAATACATAAAATACAAATTCTAAGTTATTAAGAGCAATGGTGACAAAGTAATGCTTTTAATGTTGTTTTTAAAAACTTTTTAAAGTATTTATTTGAAATATCTAAAAAGCTTAATAGTATTCATTTTTTATAGTTATAAAATTTTGAACACTCTTCTGCATAAAATAAAAAAGCTATGGCATTTCTCAAATTTCTGAATAACAGCCAAATAAACTACAAACAATTTCACCCTTCATGTAAGTATCCACTAAAAGGTATACAATCAAGATTGAACCGTTCTTCTACTCTTAATTCATTAGTGGATCTTGAAGGCCCTCTTCTGGATTATAAATTACTGCATGGCCAAGCAAAGAACACGGAAATGACAAAGCCAACCAACATTATGAAAAGATAAATATCTTAAATATATTATATTCATGTTATTACCAACTTCATTTCCTGGTTTTTACTTTTATCTGCCCATCTTGGTTACTATAATTTAGGAGCTGAGAAAACTTCTTAGTGGATACTTAAAAATAAAGTATTTCTTACACTGATATTCACAACAGGAGTGGATAGTCTAAAGAGAGTTGTGGAGAGTTTCTCCACAACTTTGTCTGAAAGTGCTGCACAGCCAAATGATATTTGCTTATTCTTACTTACTAAGCAACAGCACACACAGACACATGATTGTGTGTATGTCCCTGTCTACACAGGCATGTGACTTTCAGAAGTTACCTCTGAAAATCTGGTTTGTTCTAAGGTAGAAAAAAACCAAGGAAATATTTGCAATGGTCCTAAGTCTTCAAGGATTGTACAATTCCTTTTGAATACATATACACACACAGACTGTAAGGGACTTAAAAATGTAACCTTCCAAGAGAGTAACTTGCTTGCCTAAACAAACATTTCCTATAGAAAAGCAAGATGCTTCTCCATACATAGAAGGAAAAAAAATATCCTAGAATGTGTTCTAGAAAGCACCATATTAATGGATCTGTCTGTAAATGAGTGGACTTGAACCACCAATTTTCCTCTTTCCAAAAACAGCCATTTATTCTCTTGTTTTGTCATGCTAACAAGAAATCATAAATATAGGAACACAGGAGCAGGTACTAAGTATCCTATTAGTAAAAACTCTGTGGAGAAAATGAAACATAGTTTGATTGAACTGTACATTTTAAAAAAACAGTATGCTGAAGAAACCTATCATTTTCTGGTAGGTTTCTGTGTCCCACCGGTGTAGGGCTACTGACGCCGATCCTTTTTCCGTACTTTTGATTTTGGTGCTGCCAAGAAACAGGAAAGGAAAAGAATCATCAGAAGTGAATTACAGTAATTCCAGTGCCAACATTCTTTTAAATTAGGTTGGCACCAAAATGGATGCATTAATGTAAAACCTACCATTGGGATTTTCTTGTCTGTAGAAAGCTTTTAACAATTCCACTGCTTCTTCAGCACGATAGCCAGAAGAGCACTGTTCAAATTAGAAGGATGTTAGTGGGCACATCTGAGAATAATGTATTCCATGCTTCACAATAATGCCTTGAGTACAGAACAATTTTAAACAACTGTACTGTCAACTTAGGGGTCAGAAAAAAATCTCCATTTCAGGTTTAATACCTAAAACATCTGGAAAACACTATATTGAGGCTTAGTAGAGCAAGTGATTTCCTTAACAACTTAATATTAGGCAAAAGAAACTTTCTTAGTAAATTATGTAAAATTTATGCAATCTACAATTTCATTCTTATTAATGTGTTTCAAACCTCCCATACTCAAGCACTTGGAAACATAAGAGACATACAAGATTCCTGAGAGAAAAAATTCTTCCACATACCTATTCTTTATTCCTAACAGTCACCTTTCAGATCGTTTTGGTCCTTTAAATGGCTTTTCCATGTCATGAATACTAATGACAAAGCATTTAAATGTCACCCACACTAAATAAATCTTCACCCATGCTAGAAAATAAGTAGTTACTCCTATACATTCCACTGCAGTTGCCTACAGAAACAAAGGATTCATAGTATCAAGAACCTTCTCCTTTCTGTCTTCTGAATGTATAAAAAAGTTAAATACCACATGCCAATGTTAGCAAATGAACACCCTTTCAGTACTGAGTACACCAATTAATTCAGATGTCTCACTGACACACTGACAGAAAGATGCTTAATATGTTTACACTAGATACCAAACAGTATTGTCTTGCTGACTGAAATTCTTCGAGCCTTGAGCTTTTCCAAAATACATTACTTGTTTTTTACATTCATTAAATCCTTTATGTGAAATGTGGAAAAGAACTCCAGGAATCAGCATCACTTTACAAGGCAAGATCATGTACAACTGTGGATCATGTAATAAATAAAATGCTAGAAATACTCTCTACATGTAATGGGCACATAGGCAGCATCATGCTGTAAAGCACCTAGATTTATTTATACTCGACCTCCACTGAATGCCTGTCCAGCCTTTCTCACATGACAAAGATGTCTAAATCACCCCAGACACTGTTCTTTCAGTATCCTTACTATTCAGAAAGTTTCTTGATACCTAAACTGAATTTCCTCCGCTACTGTTGCAGTTCAGATTTATTTTGGGATTTGAACTACATGAAGTAAATGTAAGCTAATACATTTTATCTCATAAACACACAGACTGAAAACAAAAATACAATCATTTCTGATGGCTCAACTAAAACCCATTAATTTTGTAAGCTGCTGTTACTTGATCTTTATTGATTATGTGTTTGTACATTCTGCAGCTTAAAATAATTTTCCCTCATCTCTTCCTGCAGCATATACTTACTGTTCTAAGTATTACACATATTTTAGATATATTTAATTCTTACCTTATTCCACAAGCATAATTCTCTCCCTTACCCTTTGACACATCCTTTTAAATAATTAAAGACTGTCATCAGGGCTTTCCTCAATTTTCTTTAACAACCTAATTTTTTTTGTTATTTTCTTATTAAGCCAAGTTTACTTGACTTTGATCATCTTCCATCTGTGTCCCCTTAAAGTGATGCGTAACATTCTTGAAGCCTAGTGAGGAAGCCCAGTACTCTAGCTGGAAAACATTTTACAGCCTACTTCAAATGGGTCTCCTGAGTCCACCATATCATCGGACGAGATGCTCAAAACGGAGCCACAGCCTCCAAATCGCTCATTTCGACAGCCATACACGACCCGTGGAATTTATGGGAGTGAGTCAAGGTAATGAGTGAAAAACAAGCAGGAAGTACAGAAGCCTGATCAATGCAGTCATCAAATTTCCTACAATGTGCTTGCACTCTTCAAATTAAACTAGTTTGAGCTACAATTTCTCCCTTATAAAATTGGAATTTACTTTTGAATGATGTAAGATGTATTGCTGAAGATGCACATCCAGCCTATCTCAGAAAAGGGGAATCACGAATCCCCAAAGCAGGGGCATACAAAGACATGGTTTACTGATTGATACAACATTCAAAACTGAACACTCATTTTATATGAGTGATATTATAGCTCATTTTATATGCTAACAGACATCTCTGAAATGTATTTTTAATCTCTAAGAGCTTGTTTGTTATAACTTGTTGTTTGTTATAACCGCACCTCTCTACAGTTATAACTGCATCTCTCTTTCACTCCTGAGTCTCTCACTATTCATCATGGAGGTGGGTGCAGACCCTCAAACCACCCCTCATGGTTTTCTTCCCTGACACTGCCAAGCCTTTCTTTGTGGGCTCACTGCCAAAGGAGTAATGGTTTGACACAGAGTTTCCCAGTGTGAGTCAGCATGAAAGGATACTCATCAAGCGCACAGCAGCTGCACACATGATACAGGGCTCTACAGTTACGTACAACACCAGCTGTGGAAACACTTCCCTATAATCCCTCTTGTGTTGCTTGCACCAGTCAAGGACCTGGTCGATTGCCACCATTTCTGCATGTCGAGTAGCCTAGAAGATAAAAATAAGTATTTTCTTAAAAGTTTGCATTAATTCAATTTTGTTATAAAAGTAATGTAATGCTCTTTGCTGATTCAAGTTGCAAAAGAAATTTCATACCACCCAGACTGCAGAAAAAATACTCAACCCAAGAAAGAAACTATTCAACCACAACCTGTGTACCACACAAGATGTACAAGTGCCAGTTTTTTCTTCTATTTCTTCCTAGGCAGAGGAGCATGCTCTGAAGTTCTCCTCTCTCAGTCATGCCGGTACAGTGAGGCAAGACATGAAAGCTCTACTTGAGGCTTAAGGGACACATAAAGCCCACTGGCACAACTGATGTAGCCCATAGTCCACTCTACTTCCAAAAGCAAGAATACAGGCTCAATTACTTTCTCTGGAAATATTAACAAAGTGCTCCTCCCTCTGCCAATATTTCTGTGCTCACAAGGAATGAATACACTGTGAACATGCAACAATTTCAGTATGTTTCTGCAACTGGTGTGCTCTCTACACACAACATTTTCAGTTTGCCTCAGGTTTAATGCTGCCTGGGGAAACATACCTGCACAGTAAGTCCCTTAAGCCATAGGCAAGGATTTTAGCATATGACTTATTACAAAAATACAAAGGAATATTAATTTCTCTTTCCTTTATCCAAGACAACTGAATGATTAGTATCTCAGTATCTACAGCACAAAAACCTGAACAGAAGTGTTGACTTTAATTGCAGAGAGACCAAAATAATCAGTAATGTTCCAGTACTGCTCTGAAATGTCTGCAACACCACTGTGTTACACCAATGAAATATCACAGCAAAAATTTCAGGAAGTAATAGTTTTGAAAGGACTCTTCAGTCAGAGCCTGATGCTTATCTGAATTAAGACTATTAGTATTTTCCTTCTTTCCTATTTATTCTGAAAAAAAAAGGGTGTTTTTGACACAAGCATTAGAGTAAGAATCAATCCAGATTATAGTTGTACTTCTGTTGTGCATGTCCTCATATGTCCCTTGATATTTTCCTCTCAAAACATGAACTTGGGTTAATGTTTTAGCACTGTAAAAATCTGGTGATAACACTGAGATGCTCTATAATACATGACAAAGGACTCATGTTTAATGCTGTTCAAAAACATTTCAAAACTCCTAGAAAGGCCATGCAGCTGCTGCAGGTTCTGCCAGCTTCTGCAGTAAGAGAAGTCAACTACAAAAACAAAATTACACTAATATAGAACATTACTACATACCAGTGTACTCATATATTAAGCACTACACACTGTTTTGGTCATCTCGTGTCTTGAAGACACAGGAAAAGCAGGACAAATTCACCTTAGAGTGAGAAAGAATTATCCAAGTTACAGAACAGTCTCCATTTGGAGACTAATTAGACTGTGGCTCTTAACAGATACAGTCATTAGTTTTCCAAGTTAAGAGGACTACAGTAGAGGTTTTTAAAATAATCAAGAAAAATGTGGAAAAATCAGTTATAACTGTGATTTATTATTTCTCAAAACAAGTGAGCACCCAATGAAATTATCAGGCTGCAGATATAAAACAAACAAAAGGAAGTACTCTCACAAATCACATAATTACATTGTGAAACTCATTGCCACAGGATGCTATGGAAACAAAAAACATAAATGAGTTCAAAAAAGGTTTAGACAAATTCATGGAGGATATGTGCATGGACAGCTATCAGAAACAATGATCCAGATATAGTCTTGGACTCTGGCAAGTTATTATATAACCCTAAGTTATTCACTTTCAGAAGTGGAAAGAATGTGCAAGGGAAAGGTTTATGCTACTTCTTTCTTGTTTCTTGAACTCCCTCCTTACACACCTATTAAAGGTCCATATTAAAGACAAGATATAAGGGAAAAACTGACCTTCTAGATCTGTCTTAAGATTTTGTTTTGTATTAAGCCATGACTAGCTAGCCTTTTTTTGACTTCCTATTTAGACTTGAAATAACGTATTAGAGGGATTATTTTAATTTTGAATCACTGACTCAATTCATAAGTTTAACTCGCCAAATATTTTACACTACTTTAAAGTCAAGAAAGCAAAAGCAGGTTAACAGTAGCAAGGGAAAATGAGAATTGTTACAGAGTGGCAAATGGTATATCAAGGGAAAAAAGCTGACTCTGTGGGGTGAAAGCCTTGACAGTGCCCCAAATGTTTCACAGACAAAAAAAGATACCACCACTGCCCTAAACTGCTTACTTTCTAAATTTTAGCCCATAATTAACAAGTGAGAGTAAAGGGGGCCAAAGCTCAAAGTTCTGTGTTATCTTGTGGCTTCACTACACAAACAATACTTCATTTTCAATTATCCAGTACTGTGCCTGCAGGACACTTGCTACAATGACACAACAGAACAGAACAAAGAGGAGATGTCTGTGTGTATCAACAAAGGACCTAAGACAGAGCACATTTTACTGGGAAGTGAATGATTGCATCACATGTGGGAATAGAGATGCCAAAAAACCATTTCTAGCTGGGAAGGATCACACATGTTGTAAGGGAGAAAATTTTCAGGTTGGTCTGAGGCAAGACTGTGAACAAGCAAGTGTGGGAGCTGCCAGAGGGCACGCAGCACCGGCACAAGCTTGTGAACGAATCGCCAGCCTGTCTAAACCCAATGTCTTACACAGACATTTGCTCACTGTTGCCCAACAAAGACAAGTAGTGCCATGTCTGACTATTTTGAAATGCTGATGTCACAGCCATGCTCCTAAAAAGATAAAACTAAACAAACCAAACACAGCTGTATACAAACTCCCTTGTCCCAACAGCAATTCCTCCCAGAAGAATACAATGACCAGTAATTTTGTAAATAACTTCCACAGAAGTAAGCAGCAGTATTTCTGACATTAATGTGTTCTGCTGTGGATGCTGCAGGTGAAAAAAAAAAGGATGCAGGGTGACAGAAGACAGCCTGAAAACACTGGAGTTTTTGGCAACTAAATCTTTTTGCCAAAATGAGCAGTTTAGGAACATAATGGAAGAGGGCCTAAAGAAGACAGTACCTGCTCCTAACTGCTCCTGCAGCCCGTTACATCAGAGGATGCAGGTTCCTGCTTAAGGAGAAGACAGAATTTATTTGACAAAAGGCTCAGAGGCAAGTTGATTCCTGACCAAAGGCAGAATTGCAGGGAAGGACTGAAGATCTATTTTGCAAAGCAGGAACAAAATTTTCATGAAGTTAAAAAAGTCAGTATGTTATAAAGCTGCATTATGGAGGCCAGAAAGCTGCCAGTCTTACAGCAATATTTTAATACATTAAGGCAGAATATTGCATGAGTGCAACCTTTAGAGCAAACAGAGTCACTGTAATAAAAACCAGGAAGGACAGGTGTCATACAATCCTGACACCTATAGATCCAGGAGTATCTCAATAATAAAACAGGCAAGATTACAAACCTTTGAAAGCAGTGTTATAAGGACTAGTCCTTATAAAAGGTAAATTAAACAAAAACCCAGTAAGATAGCTGCCACTAAATTAACCTAGTAATTTTCTTTGACAAATGTTTTTTCTAGGCAAGAGAAACACCAGTCTTCCTGGACATCTCCAGTGCATCTGGCACAGCACAACCTGTGAAATTATTGTGAGTGGGGAAAACAGCCTAATGCAAGAAGTGTAAGGTGAGCAAGAAAAGAAGAGACATTGCATTGACAGGAGAAATATATGTCCAGGAGGAACTCATTGTCATAGACACTCAAAGATCATTTGGCTTCAGTGTTTTCAGTTGTCATTGGCATTAACTGGAAATGCTACAGAAAACAGCTGATGATGTGATGTCTTTTGTATGATGAAAGACATCACGAGAAGTGACAAGGTGAGGCTCTCACTCAGGAGGTGGATGGCCTTCTAGATGGGAGTAAAAAAAAAAAATTCAAAATAACAAAACAGCATAAAAGACCAAGGAAGCTCCAGAAAAGATGGGTGGACTTTTTTCCAGGGAAAATGTGAAGTACTTTTGTTATCAAACAAAGCACAAGTCCATCTGGAATAAAATACAGAGTTCTGGTTAAGTGAATTCAAGAAAAAATGAATCATAGCTGGAATGGCTAAGTAGAAGAATTATTATAATGAACACAGAAAACAAGCCTATCTTCTGAGAGGAAATTAAACAGTTGTCTTGGGGAAAACAAAAGCTGTAAAGAAATAAGACTTTAAATACATCCAAGCTATGTAAAATAAGTGATGATGCTGGCACAAGAACAGGGGGATATAAACAGAACATAAAAAGTTTGAAACTGGAAATCAGATATTTTTTTAGACATCTGAGGAATGATGTTCTGGAGAAGACCTTCAATATAAGGTGGGACAAGAAATTAGTCTTAAAACAGACCTTGACATTTATGATGTCTGCTGGAACTGCCTCAATGTTCAAGAGAATTGGGGTTTTTTCCACAATAAAACAAATGTTTTTATTCCCTAAATAAAGCCAGAAATCGTTAGGAGAAAACTGAAAACAATTTCCTATGTTCACATTTCATACCAAGTACTTCTTTCAAGCTTACATTGTTTTTTTAGACTACATGGAGCAATTACGTATCTGATAAAAAATTTAGAAGCACTAAGTACCCAGCATTTCCAATCACTATAATATAAACATTTATGAAAATTGAGCCACAAAAGAACTGAAACTTGAGCTAAGCAGCAATTTAAAAAAAAGCTTGGCTTTCAAAGATATTAACTGATTCCTGTTTCCAAAACCCAGCCGATTTTTTTTAAATCAGGCTACTTGCATTTTAGTATTCACCTTCAGACAGCCCTGACATCAAAAATGCCTCAAAGCTTCCCTGAGATTTTTAAGTTGATTTTGGTAAATTTTTCAAAACTTTTTACATAACTTTTCAGTTATGTTCTGTCTATTAACATGTGATTTCTACACAATATTAGTATCCCTGGCAAGACTTTCCCAAGAAGTGTCTGCTTCCCCACGGTGTTTACAATGGTGTAACATGAGATACCTAACTTCTCTGTCATCTGGCTTTCTTAAAGCTGTATTAAAATCCTCTTAATGCATTACAGATTGTCCTGCAGAACAAATTACTACAATGATTCATCTGCACTGTCGCATTTTTGAGCTTAAAAGACTAATTTTAACTTTTTATTATGTTTTCGGATTTGAGACATCTAATAAAAATTACAGTCAGATCCTGCAGTCAGCTTAATTTCTACAAATGTTCCAGTTGTACAAAATCTCTGTTGGCATTAATAGCTCTCTCGGCACCAGATCTCATACCTAATTTGATGGTTAAAGTTGCAATAGGTCTAAAATCTACAGGAAATAGCTTTTTTTGCTCTGGCCTGTGGACAGAACTCCATCAGGAAAGGCTGCACAGTCATTTCTCCCTCTTAACCCCCGGGTGACTTTAGGAGAGCACGTTTGAGACCCAGCAGTGGGACGAGCGCGGCGCAGGGCGGCGGCGGCCGAGCCGCGGTGCCCCCGGGCCGACCTCAACTCACGTCCTTCGTCTCGTTGACCTCGTTCCTGCCCCTGCCTATGACCTCGCCGTTGTAGACCAGCAGGCAGCCCACGGGAACCTCTCCTTTCTCCAGCGCCTCCTTGGCCTGAGGGACAGACAGACAGACAGACAGACTGGCGAGAGGCACAGGACAGCGACACAGCAGCGGGGAGAGCTTCCGCCGGCCCCCGTTCCCTCCCCTCCCCGCTGCCGTGAGGGGCTCCGGGGCTGCCCGAGGTTTCCCCCGCGGGACAGCGGGAGCCCCGGCCCGCACTGACCACGTCGAGCGCCTGGTCCATCCAGGCCAGCACAGCCGCCTCCCCCGCCTCCGCCATGCCGGGCCCGGCGCTGTTTCCGGGGCACCGCGGGCGGTGCCGCCGCCGCCTCCGCCCCTTCCGCCGCCGCGGGGACCCGAGGGGCGGCCGGGCTGGGCCAGGCTCGCAGGATGCTCCGGTCGCTCTGGAGTTTCCTTAAGCGGCACAAGAAGAAATGCCTCGTCCTTGGCACCTTTCTTGGCGGTGAGTGCCCGGTCGAGGGGCGGGGGCGATGATACCGGGGGAACGCGGCGCCGGCCGCGGGGCCTCCCCGCGGAGCGCTGCCGGCTCCCGCCGGGGCGGCCCCCTCGGAGCTGGCGCTGGGCCCGACGAGCCCCCGCGGCCAGGAGGGGCCCACGCTGGCTGGAGAGGCTCTGTGCCCCCGGGCCCTGCGCCGGCCTGCCGACACCGAAGTGTTCCCGCTGTCCGCCGCCGGGAGAACCGGGTGCCAGCAGGACTTTCCCCCGAGGCACGGAGGGAGTCTACGCGTCGTCCCTTAAGCCCTAAAAGACAGGGACTCGGGTTGCCCGGGTGCTCCTACGGCGGGAGATCGCGTTACTTTGAAACAGCGCTGAAGGGCGCAATGCGTGGGTGACACTTGTGTTGTTTCTGGGATGGAGGCTGAAAACCTCCGCTTTCATGTGTGACTCGTGCGGTGAGGTGAATTGTCAAATATCACAGAATCGATTAGGCTGGAAAAAAAGATCACGGAGTCTAACTTATGACCGAACATCATCTTGTCAGCTAGATCATGGCACTAAGTGCCACATCCAGTCTTTCCTTAAATATCTCCAGGGACGGCGACACCACCACCTCCCTGGGCAGCCCATTCCAATGTCTAATCACCCGTTTTGTGAAGAAATTCCTCCTAATGTCATACCTGAACCTCCCCTGGTGCACATTAAGGCCGTATGCTCTTGTTCTGTCACTTGTTACCCGGGAGAAGAGACCAACCCCACCTGGCTAAAATCGCCTTTCAGGTATTTGTACATAAAGAGTGATAAGGCTCCCCCTAAGCTCCCTTTTCTCTAGGCTAAACACTCCCAGCTCCCTCAGCCAGCCACTCTTTATAGGACATGTGCTCCAGACCTTTCACCAGTTTCATTGCCCTTCTCTGGACAAATATAGATTAGTTCCAGACACAAAACTTTCACTGAGAGGATTTGCATTAATTATTCAAGCACTTTCTCCCTTAAGGCTCTTGCCTTAAGGTTCTTGCTGAACCTGTAGGGTGCTTATGGTCTAGTAAGCTCCACCTTCCCTTGAAGTTATTATTGGGTTGTTTTTAGTTGGAAATGGATTTAAAAGAGCACATTGGATCTGTCTCTCTGTTTAATGATGAAGTGCATAGCTGTGCAGCTGGAGATTAGATACTCCTCAAAAGGCACAGCAGCGTCTGTGTGCACTCAGTCATCAAATGTACTTATATCCAGTGTAAGTGACATAGAACTGGAACTTGCCTGAACAACTGAATGTTCTGAGGGCTACAGGGCTTTTGTCGTTTGTCATATGTTCAGGTGAAGTCCCCTGTGAAGGTGACTTGTATTTACTTCTGGCTTGTCTTGGTTCTTGTGCCGTCTGCATTCTTTCATGATTAATTCCTTCTGCGGTTTTCCAAAGAGTGCCAATTAATCCATGATAATAGGGGGGGTGATGGTTACTGAAGTACTGGTCAGACTGCTCTGCCAGTTCACCCCCTCACCTGCAGCTCTTGTGGCTCTGTGAGTGCAGCACACTGTCATGTTTACCACCACACTTGCAGCCCACCATGTTAACTAAACGGATTTATTTTTTTGCTTTTACGCACCAGGCTGTCACCTGGAAGATGTTCTCCCTCCCCTTCAACTGTCTGTGTGAGAGTGGTGGGTGGACAAATGGGAATAGTAAAAAATCACTTCCCCCAGTTTCAATGCGTAAACATGGATCAATTCCCAAGTGGGAAGGCAGGTATCTGGGAACTTGTGGCTCTCATAGCCTGAAATCTTAAATTCCTCATGTATAAACAGCCTTCTGCCAGCCTGCAAACCAACCTAACATAACTGAGTTTGCAGTTTTTTCCTTTTGATTGGTGTTGTTTATATACAGCTCAGTTTCACTTTCACTAAAATGCTACTGACTGGATCATGTGCACTTAAAATAATTATAGACTAAAATAATGTCATTTAAAGAATTACCAAAAAAAAAAAAAAAGCAACTCAAGATGCTCTTCCACTAATCAGCATTTCAACTCTGACTGAAAATATTAAACTGTGCTATCATTTTCTGCAGTATGGATCAATTATCTATTTCTTCAGGCCATGTACTATTTGTAGAGAATTGTTTTTTATGTATTTGAGACTGAAGTAAATCTGGGCTTCCACAAGCAGGTGAACATCATTAGCTGCCACCAGCAGCAACTTTGCACCATGGTATTTTAAGGGAGGCAGGGAGATGGAGTGAATTACTGCAGAGTGCTGCTTTATAGCTGTTTAGCAGCTGAATCTTGAGTGCTTTGGACATCTACATAGTTATGGATCAGACCTTAAAAAAACTCCACGAGCTATGGTAATGACACCACCGGTGAATCAGAGCTCTGAGGTCCATGGTAGACACTCCAGAAAATACAAATCTTGAAAGATGGAATACAACTTTACACACTGCTTTTAAATAAAGACTGAATATTTGGAAGTGGCTGAATGATTTAAGGAAAGCATCCAAATTTGCTGATTTAACAGCAGAGCCTGGAATCTACATTTATGTGGTGTTATGAGCTGCAGGTGCATTTTCTGGGAAGGAGGGTATAACAAGGAAAATGGGACATCACAAGATTTAATGATTTTAAGTCTTTAACTGGCACATGGTCAGAGATTAATGTGAATATTTAATGATTCATTAGACAGTATAGAAGAGTTTCTACATTATTACTGATACAGTATTGTATCAGTGTTGTGTTACTGAATTACTGCACCAAAATCAGAGTTGGTTGGTAACTTTTCCTCTCTTTACTGAAGTGGATTCCATGTGTGTTACCAGTAGCTTTCATTCTTTGTGCAATTTTTCTCAATCCCAACACTACCCAACAGATTTTACTGCTTATGAAGATACAAATCTCACAAAATAAGCTCAAACTTCGTGGAAAAGCAACTGAAAAAATATGGTTGACTTCCCCTTAAGCACAGGGTTAAGAAGGCCTCACTTTAGCAAAGACCCTGTACAAACCTTTCTTTAGAAGTTGTTTCTTTAACAATATAAAATAGGTTGCATACTGAAAAGACTTAAATCTCTTCTAGCAAGCAAAGTCTAGTGGTCTGGGAATCAAACCCACTAGAAGTATGTAGAGAGAGAGACACAGGGATCTACAAGGACACATTAGGTTCATGTATTTGTTGGATAGTTTGATTAAAGTAGTTTTTTATCTTGGTGCTCAGCATTCAAGCCAGATTTTAATAGATATTACAAAAGATTCACCATTGAAATTCTGTTGATGCAGTGGAAGAACAAGCTCAGGGTGTGTCTGCAATGTATGGTTCTGATTTCAGTGGTACATTAATTATTGCTGAATTTCATCTGTTGCAACCTTTGGCTTGCAGAAAAAGCATTTCAGTTCAGAAATCTCTCTGCTTAGCAGAGAAAGTTGGCTTGGTTTGTGAGTAAGCACAGGGTGTTAAATATGTACTAGTGGGACTAAGTGTTACCAAGAGAATAAGGCTTTAGTGCCTGCATATTTTAAAGATGGTTTTCAACCATAACAGGATAATTGTATGTCCCTTAATGCATGGCATTGCTTGCAACATAAGGACAAACCACAATTTATGGAGCTGTTTGTGTCCTGGAATGATGCAGGCTTCTGTGTGTCAGCATAATTCCTACATAATAAAGTTCTTAAAACTGAAATTTTCCCTTTTTTTTTTTTTTTTTTTTTTTTTTCTTCCTGTGGTAAGTGAAGGCAAAGGGGCTTCCTGAAAACTTTATGCCTCCTAATTACCTATGCCATTCTTCAGCTCAGCCCTCCATTCCACCTGTGAAGAAAGGAGAGGGAAACCATCACTTAGGTGATATGAGAATTACCCTACCTCTTGGAGGCTACTAGAGTGAACATGTAAGAGCCTGCAGACTCTGTAAACTTGCATTACTTACATTTAGGTGGGAAGAGTTTATACAGTGCTACAGCCAAAGAAGGATATGGAGGCAAATTTATCTCAAATCAAAAAACTTGCTTCCACAGGATATAGGGGCTGTAAACCCCAGAGTGCTTCCCAGTCGGCAGCTAAAGCACCACAAAGCCACACACACACCTTCTCTGGTGGGATGAGGGAGAGAATCGGGCCTGACCAATGCCCAGCAGCCCCTGAACAGTGCTTCCCCCTCCCCCTGTATTCCGCCCTAATTTTAGTGCTGAGATGGCATCCTGTGATGTGGCATGTCCCTTTGATCTTCTGGGATCAGCTGTCCTGGCTTTGTCTCCTCCCAGCTCCTTGTGACCCCCAGCCTCCTTGCTGGTGGGGTGGTGTGATAGGCAGAAAAGGCCTTGACTTTGTGTAAGCCCTGCTCAGCAATTACAAAAAGAGCTACTACCAACACTGTTCCCAGCTACTATGAAGAAAATTATCTCTGTCCCAGCCAGATCCAACACAGACAGCCAGTACCCATGTCAATACATTTCACTTTCTAGATCAGTTGTAAAACAGTATCAGTTGTAGTTTGAGCTCCTTACTTAGGTTGCTGTTCTTGAAGGGTCTGACATCAGGTGATGTTTTTATCACTCACCTGTTTTGGAACCCTCCAAGTCAGATGTGTTGGGACTATAATATTTTGTACAGTTCACATTTTGATGAAGATAGAAAAAAGTTTCTGTAGGAATTATCTCCTGGACAGCCTCACTGTTTCTGAATTTTCTTAATTCCTGTTTTGTGTCAAACATATGGGAAGATTCAGCATGAAGTTCCATCTATACAACAATTTAGCTAATTAGACATGAGTAAATTCTTGCTGCTGCAGCTTTTTGCAGACCTCCTATCCCACACTGAGCAGTAAAACTAAGTTTTATTAGTTATAAAAA